ATGTCGCCGGCATAAAAGCTGTTAGAATTAGAGTAGAATTTTTCAATTTTGATGGTTTTAACTTAAGAGGATCTAATGTAATGTTTTGTTGGATAAAAGCTCATTGTGGAATATTAAATAATGAAATAGTAGACAAAATTGCTAAATACATATAATGAACCATCTAAAGAATCAGAATATAAATGTGTAATTGAGGATCTAAATTCTCATCTAAGGAAAAAAATGTTAAATTCATGGCAAACAATGTACAATTGATCTAACAAAGGATTATATTATAAAGATATAAAACCAAAAATACAGTCCTCAACGTGGTTCAAAAACTCAAATTTTAATAAAGATATGATTAGAATACTATGTAGAATAAGATTTAAATATGCTCTGTCTCCGCTACATAAGTTCAGAATTAATTTAGCTGAAACTCCATTTTGCGAATGTGGCGAAGAAGGCTCAATTGAGCATTTAGTTTTAAATTGCTCATTAAATACACGATGTATAAACCAATTTATAATAAAAATATACGAGTATATCAATAAGGAAAAAATTCTTATTAAAAGACCTTTTAATTTATCAGATTTAATAAAAACCAACAACTTGCATATTTATGAAATAATTTTTCGCCACGTACGTGAAATGAAATTGAATTTCTAAATGTGTTAAAGTAACAGTGTATATATTTCAAACATAAAAAGTTAGTTATATAAGTCCTTTGTTTTAACCCAGTTGTTAACCTTTCTATCCGCGGTCTAATTTTGTGTTGTGCAAATCGCCTTGATAGACCCCTAGGCGTATGTAATAAATCAGCAAAACCATATATTTTCCTTTTCCTTCCAGTAAAAAAAAACTAAAATAAAAAAAAAATAAAAAAAAGAAATAATAAAAAAAAACTAAAAAGAAATAAAAAAAAAAATAAAAAAAATATAATGAAAAAAAAAATTAATGTAGGTACGTACTTATATGTAAGTCAATAGAAGTTAAGATTTTATTGTTGTTACGGGTTCTCTCTAGAACAATTGTTTAAAAATTAATTAATAACTCAAAACATAATAGGCTAATGGACTATGTCTCTAGTCATAAAATAAAACTACACACACACATGGTTTTAACTTTTTCGAAATCTATTTTGTGACGTATCTGAATATGATATTAAACTAGGCTAATTCAAGGCTTTCTCCACAGACCCTGTTCGTTAACTCCGCCATATAATATGGTCCTCAATACTTTTCTTTTAAAGTACAGGTACAACTTTGAAAGTTCTATCTTGTAAATCATTTTTATGCGTCACTAGCAAGTAGAGTAACTGTTTATGTCCAAATATTAATATTCTATCAGACTCATGATAGCCACTATCATATAATAGCAAATCGTTGTATTTTTCAGAAAGTAGAAAATTCATGTTGTTGGAAATAGCACGTATTGTTATTGTGTTCTTCTTGTGTTGAAATTGAAGTCTATTAACGCTTTCATTTGTTTAAGAAGTTTTATAGTATAGACAATTTTAGATGTTGCTCCAGGATTTTTCATATTTACTGCCATTTCATTTACCATCTTTCTTGTATCTGCTACACAATCGTTTTGCATTAGTAATTATGGTTATTCCACGAATATACGACTGTTTGGGATTATTGCGACAACGAATATTTTACTGTGCAAGTAGAAGTATGAAAGTAAATTGGTCTAATTATTATTCCAATAAAAAGCATCTACTGTTAGTATTACATCTGAACTAAAATCATTTCAGTTAATAGATGTACAAATAGACGCAAAATTTATTGTAAAATTTAATCTGAAAATAACAAAAATTTTTACGCAAACGCTCATTTTTACGAAAATGTGTTCATCAGACATTTGGGTTGGATTTCGGTGAAATGTAAACAAAGTACATTTGAAATGTAAACATTTGTAAATAAATGCAAAGAGACGTGCCGGGTTTCTTTGATATTATATTTTATTACTTTATTAGGTACTAGAACTTTAATAAAAATAAACATACTATTTTTATTATAAATGAAAAGAAATTGGCAGAACGATGCATGGTTCAGAAACCAGAAATAGAATCTATATGATAGTTCACTTTGTTAGTTTTAAATATTTGTTTGGTTTGAGTGGATGTACTCTTAAGTTCCGAAAGTTTTTTTTTATAACGGGTATAATATACCGGCTATTGATAGTTAAAGTACCGAGTCGTTACAGATATTAAAAAGTAACGAAAATTTACATACAGTTTCATATATCGCCGACTGATTTTAGTTTTAAAAACCGTCCGTATAGAGGTTTCCGGTGAAGAGAGGTGTCCGTTAAGATAGAGTTTAGTGTAGTGTATTTGTTTATTGAAGCCAAAAATGCCGAGACGAATCTTCCCGAAGGTTGCAAATTTGAAATCCGTGAGACAATATATAAAATGCGCGAAAAGAAAGAACATGTTTCTTTAGATTCAGTGCTACAAAAATTAAAAGACAGAAATATATTTGAAATTTCCAGAACAAGTCTCTGGAGAGTTTTAAGACAGATGACAGATTGGCTTTAAGTTCAAAAAGGAAGACAATGGAAAGATTTTGTGTGAAAGAGCTAGTGTCGTTCACAAAAGAAGAGAATTTTTAAGAAATTACAACAAATTTAAAAAAGAATGTTCTTCCTTCGTTTATTTAGACGAAACATGGATTTTTGCTAAAGTCGGTATCAAACGAATTTGGCAGGACGAGAGTATAAAATCCATAAAACACATTGATAACGAGGGAAAGAGATATATTATAGTACATGCAGGTGGAAAATATGGTTTTATTGAGGGAGCAGATCTTGTGTTTTCATCAAAATCAAAATCAGCCGATTATCATGGCAATATGAATACGGACATGTTTGTTAAATGGTTGAAAGAAAAACTGTTGCCAAGTTTACATGAACCATCCATTATAGTACTGGATAATGCTGCGTATCATTCGGAAATTTTAAATAAGCAACCAACAAACACCTGGACTGTAGATAAAATAAAAGAATGGTTAATGAATAACACTATTACATTTCCTCAATACTGTTTTAAGCCTCTAATTACTAACGTTAGCTAAAAGTCATGCACAACCAAACATATATATAATATATATATATATATATATATATATATATATATATATATATATATATATATATATATATATATATATATATATATATATATAGCATCGGAAAAAGGAGTACGACCGTCAAATTCCAATATATAAAAGGATCACTCAACAGAGTGGTGGGCTCTTATATCGGTCAATTTGTAGGTGGAGAAATGAAAGACAAAGTTGATGTGCCACTCTATCTATTTTGAAAACGTTTCGCTTTCGTATTCTGAAAGCATCATCAGTTCATTCTAAAAAATATAATATAAGAACCACACAATCATGGAAAAGATGTTACAGGTGTTACCTTAAAAAGACATGTAGCAGTCAAAGATGTTAACAAGCTTATGAATTAAACTTGAAAAAATGGACAATATAAAGTAGAAATGTATAAACATTTAATTTACTAACAACATTTAGTGACTTATTACAAAATTAGCACAGCTAATGTTGCAATACAGCAGCTAGCAATGCTACCAAAAGTTAAAATTAAAGTTTAATAATTATCTAATGTTGGAAGTTAATCGTTGATTTTCTTAGTTCTTTGCATCAACTACGTTATAATTTAATATATATTTTTTATACTTCTGACCACATGGTCACTCACTGTGCTAATTTTGTAATAAGTCACTAAATGTTGTTAGTAAATTAAATGTTTATACATTTCTACTTTATATTGTCCATTTTTTCAAGTTTAATTCATAAGCTTGTTAACATCTTTGACTGCTACATGTCTTTTTAAGGTAACACCTGTAACATCTTTTCCATGATTGTGTGGTTCTTATATTATATTTTTTAGAATGAACTGATGATGCTTTCAGAATACGAAAGCGAAACGTTTTCAAAATAGATAGAGTGGCACATCAACTTTGTCTTTCATTTCTCCACCTACAAATTGACCGATATAAGAGCCCACCACTCTGTTGAGTGATCCTTTTATATATATATATATATATATATATATATATATATATATATATATATATATATATATATATATATAGTAGACGAAATTAATTAATTAATCCAATTGAATATATTTGGGGGATCTGCAAAACATATTATGATAACCATATTGGATACAAGGGTTACAGTGACGAGGCAGTCTTGGAAACATGGCAACAATCATTGAATATTGCCACTCCTGAAATTTGGGGAAAAGGTGTAAAAAAATGTGAAAACGTAATTAAAGAATGGTGGGTCCGTGAAGGTCGCATCGAAGCAGTTAATCCTATTATAATTTACCATCCAAATGAGGATAGCGACGACAGTGATTATGACTGTGAATCTGATGGTTGATAATAGTTTTAGGAGATTAGGTGAATAAGAGAATAAGTAAGTTTTTTTGTTTTTTTTTAATACTAATTGAATATTCGACTAAATAAATTAAACTATTTAATCACTTAAGTATTGTTACATTTCGTTTAAATCACTTAATTAAAACACCAACTTGTTTAAAATACTAAACTCAATGATAGTAATTATATAATTTAAATTCTGAATTACAACTATTATATAAACTATCAACTCTATGTTTATATCATGACTTCATATTTAAATCTAAGGTTTATATCTGTCGTAACAGTATTTTAAAAATGGGGAGAATTTACTATTGTACAATGCAGCACATTGGACCATTTAAGTCGACACCTTAAAGCGAATTTAAAACAGTCGTATATTCGTGGAATGGAGTTATATAACTATTTCGATAAGACAAGATATAGGTAATATTTTTTTTAATAAACTTTGAATTCCTTAGGTCATCTTGTACTGTTGAGCAAAGTTAAAAATAAAAAAAGGGTATGAAAAATAGAATAATGAAAATGATTAAAAAACATCCAGAAGTTTTATATTTAAATACGATAAAAAAGGTGTAAGATTAATCGTAAAAAGAAGAAATATTTTATAAAAACATTTATTTACAAAACTTGATAGAATATACAAAAAAAAAAACGTAGTGGCCTTTTTTCAAACTGCTCTTTCCTTTATTTCCTGCTTGTTTTTATCATCGTCCGATTTAATTTCATTCCAGGGTTGTTTTTCGGCTGTAGAAAATAAACAGAAAATTACGCTGGCGGCTATCATCATACAAGTACCTATACTGATGATTATTTTCCACTGATGTCTGTCAGTCTGAAATAAAAGTAATAATTATTATGTATGGTGTAGTGTATGTGACAAATGCCTTATTTAATAATCAGTTCAAATTATAATATTTTTTGTAATAAAAAATCAACCTGTATAATTTTGTTTATTTGCGTACAATTTCCGATACACTGCGTGAAATTATCCGTACAATATTAACCACAAAAATAGAAATAGTAGAACGCAGTGTTTTCTGAATGTATTTACTTTTTGTTCAGATGATGTAGTCCTGGTAGTACCGAAGACTAAGGGCCTTACTTTTCTATCTTCAAAATTGATTTAAGGACATTGAACAATAACCAACTGTACTAGTTTATGGGGGTTCGTAGATTTAGACGTGGGATCTAGACCAACAGCATACTGGAATTTCGACCTGGTTTTCTCAGGCTAAAGATTGTAGGAAAAAAACAGGAGCTGTCGTAGACAGGAGTGTTTATTTAATATTTGAGCAGGTATAGTTTTCATTGGGATTATTTAAAAGTAAATACTTGCTACCAATTATTAAAGGTAAATTGAATAAACTATATTTTTTGCTAATTTCTCTTATTTTGCCTATGATTTAATATCAGCAGCGGTTATCTTACATTTTCCGTAATTCCAATTACTCCGTAATGTGTACACTTATGTTTTATCATTCCACTCAATTAACTTTGATCTACAGAGCTGTTCAGATAAAACTATCCACCTTAAATAATTTTTACACTATATGTTTAGGAATAATTTTGTCAGTTAATTAACTTAAATACTTTTAATAACTTAATAAACAGCAATAAAGACGGTTTTACTTAAGTGCGTAGAATTCTCTCACTGCGTAGAATTCCCTCACATTCGCTTACACGTATTATACCTCCATACATATCGACAGACGCGTCTGCGGATGCATCTGCAGATGTATCATCATAAGCTGACCACAAATTTGTAAATCGTTTATCATCCAGTCTCAAGAGTCCACTGCTGAACATAGGCTTCTTTCTAATGTTTCCAACCCCGTCTATCTTGCGCCGCTTTTATCCAGTTTTTATTTAGTCTTCCTCAATCATCAGTCCATCTTGTAGGTGGTCGACCGACGCTTCTCTTGTCTTCCCTTGGCCTCCATTCCAATACCCTCTTTGTCCATCGCCCACCTGTCATCCTGGCTATGTGTCCTGCCCATCTCCGTTTTAGTCTGGCTGTCTTCTCGATGATGTCAGTCACTCCGGTTATTCTCCTGATGTCTTCGTTGGTTATTCTGTCTCGCAGAGTTATTCCTAACATGGACCGCTCCATTCTTCTCTGCGTGACTCTCAGTTTGGTAGCTGCTGCTTTTGTTGAGGTAAGTGTTTCTGTTCCGTACGTCAAGACTGGGAGGACGCACTGATCAAATACCTTTCTCTTTAGGCATGTGGGCAGCTCACTTTTAAAAGTTTCTCTCAGCTTTCCAAATGCTGCCCACCCAAGCCCGATTCTTCTCTTCAGTTCATGAGTCTGGTTATCACTGCCAATCATATTTTCATGTCCCAGGTATTTATATCTATCTATGAGTTCTATTTCTTTCCCACCAATACTGATGTTCTGGTTGGGTACCAAATTGGTCATGATTTTTGTTTTCGAGATATTTATATTTAAACCTACATTTTCTGAAGCCACAACGAGTTCCTGTACCATCTCTCTTGCCATACCTAGATCTTCAGCTATTATAAGTATATCATCGGCGAAACGTAAGTTGTTTAGATATTCTCCATCTACTTTTATTCCCTTTGTCATCCAATCAAAATTCTTAAAAGTATGTTCTAGCACCATATTAAAAAGTTTAGGTGACATTGGATCTCCTTGTCTAAGCCCCGTTCTATTTTTATGCGATTACTGTTAGTATGTAATCTGAGGATACTATTGAAAAGGAAGGAAGGAAACTATTGAAAAACTGGACCTGGACCAAAAAAAAAAAAGTTACAAGCAATATATGCCCTTAAGAATTAAGCTAACTGATGCAGAATGAAATGAATAAAATGTAAACATTAGGATACGAAGACAAGTGATAGGTGCCTTGAATCCAGTTTTAAGGAAAATATACAAGAGAAGATACAAAGAGATGAACCTGCGATACAATATTAAATATTATTGAAACCAGTGTAAATATATGAAGCGTTATCGTATAAAAACTGTTGTATTATATGTAGATATATATTGTTTACTTTCGTCTATTAGTTCCTTGCTTTTGTTGTTTGAAAAGTCTATAAATGTTCCAAACATATTCAATAACTTTGTCAATAATTTTCAAACGAACTTATCCATTAATTTCAATTTGCGGTATTGTTAGTTAAACATAAATTTTAGACATTTCAGTCGTTTTTTCATATATTATTAAATATTTTTATCGTTCTGTGTTATTATATCAAATTGATGTATTGATTGCACTAAATTACATACTTTTTTCATTGAGACAATTATCGTAAATTATCCAGTTATTTGTTGTGGCTTACAAAGTTAACAAAAAGATAATAAATACACGACAGTGTAGCGACATTTGTAAAAATGATTAACTTCAACAGTTATTAACCTGGTTTTACCTATAATAAATGTATATATTAGTGTTAATATTTATTGACTAAAAACAGAAAGAACTGAAAGGAAATAAATGTTTTAATGGAAGTACATTAACCATAAAATATGCATAGGAAGAAATCAATCGGTTGTATCATTGAATGTACTATGTACACCTCCATTGGCCGTAGAAATACCTACTTCAGATCTTCTCATAGCCTCTTTTTAGTGCACATTTTTTTAATGGCTCCTCTACACATCGGCGGACGCGTCCGCGGACGACGTATACGTATGCATCTGGAGATGTGTAGATGGGGTAATTTGATCATCTGTTGTTTATACAGGGTGAGTCACGCTCAACGGGACGGAGCCTACCGGTTAAACGGCTAAAGATATTAAAAATTTCTTTTGCAGGAATACGTAGGTTAGTACCGGCTACAAATTAAAATTTGTGAGATATATACAGGGTGTCCCAATTTGGCGTAATGATATAAACATACTTTTTTAAATAGAACAACATATATTTCACTTTAATTTTGAATTGTACTGAACAAAATAATGTTACTTTATTCAGCATTCCCTATACCTATTTTTGACCGGTTTCGATTTATTTGGGTTTTTCTGAAAATGTACTATTCCCGAAATTAATTAATTACACAATATCGCATGAATTTTAATTAACGCCTTTTTGTCAGTTAATTGTCAAGTGTCCATGCTTTACATCAGAATAATTACCATTTGAAACTAATCTACAGAGTGTTCGCAATCTGAAGTGTCAATACTGTACCATATTTTGTATAATTACTTTCTTAACTTAAATGGGACACCCTGTATTTTACTTTAATTTTGAATTCTAATTAAAAAAAAAATATATTACTTTATTAAACAATCTCTATACCTATCTTTGAGAATTTTCAATTTATTTGCGTTTTTTTGAAAATGCACTATGTATACTTGAAATTAATTAATTTTTGTCACTTTATTACATAAAATTCTACTCTTACTTAAACAAAAACCCTGTATTTGAATGTTGTAACAATTATTATAATCAAACTATTATAAAATTTTATATTAATATCTAGTATCTTCAAATCTATTTGCATTATGTTACCTGGAACATTAAATGTCATTAATTACATAACTCGTTATTATAAAGAATGCCATGAAAAAACAAAAGGTACCTAGCTGTCAAACTAATTGTCAAACTATTAACTGTATTGCTTTCAATTAAATAGAAATGGCAGATTATTCAATTGAAGACCGAGTAAATATGATTTTAATACTGGGTGAATGTGATCAAAACAGTTTGTTAGCATCAAGAGTCTATGCTGAGAGATTTCCCTTAAAACGTCATCCTCGTAAAGAAGTATTTGACAGAGTCTTAACAAGGTTTCGTGAAATTTGCAGTGTTGTTTATACTAAACGAAAATTAATAAATCCGCTAACTGAAGATGAAAATACCGAATTAGAAGTTATTCAATCAGTTATTGAAAATCCAAATACAAGTACAAGGATGATGGCCAGGGAGATTGAAGTAAGCCAAACTAGTATATGCAGAATTCTTAAAAAATATCAATATCACCTATCCCATATTTAAATGCATCAGCATTTGTATGGAACTGATTTTGAACGTAGGTTAGAATTTTGTTTATGGTTTCTAGACAAAACGGGAGCAGATCAACATTTTTTTGATAAAATTTTGTTCACTGATGAATCTACTTTCCATAATAATGGACTCGTGAACCGACATAACTTTCACTATTATAATACGGAAAATCAACATTAATATAGATGTACTGATCGACAAAACCGATGGTCCCTTAATGTATATGGTGGAATAATAGGAGAACATGTGATAGGACCGTATTTTTTAATGGCCATTTAAATGGACAAAAGTTTTTAAGATTTCTACGAAGAGACTTTTGGATACTTTTGCAAAATATCCCTTTAAATATTAGAAGAACAATGTTTCTGCAGCTAGACGGTGCTCCAGCACATTACACGCGTAACGTTAGAGAATATTTAGACAGAAAATTTCCCGGAAAGTGGATAGGTAGGGATGGTGCTGTCAGTTGGCCCCCTAGATCACCTGGGTTAACATCAATGGACTTTTTTTTTGGGGGTATATTAAAAGTTTGGTTTATCAAACTCCACCTACAACCGCTGAAGACATGAAAACGCGTATTCGTAATGCGTTTGCAACAGTTACTCCAGAAATGCTAAGAAGAGTAGAACAAAATTTTGAACACAGAGTGAGGTTATGTAGTGAAGAAAATGGACACCATTTTGAACATTTAATGTAAATTAATTTTTTTCTACTGTGTTTTGTTTAACTTTATGTAATAAAGTGTAATTAATTAATTTCAAGAATAGTGCATTTTCAAAAAAACCCAAATTAATCGAAAATTATAAAGGATAGGTATAGGGATTGTTTAATAAAGTAATATTATTTTTTTGATTAGAATTCC